CCCCGCCGCCCAACGCGGCCGCCTGCCCGTCGGCACATCCCGGGGCCTGCCTGGTGCGCGGCACCCGGGTCTCGCTGACCATCCGCCGTGTGCCTCGGGTGCTGCGCGCCGGCCTCCTGCTCAGCAAGTGAGCCAGGCTCTGAGACCAGCTCGGATTCCTGTGCTCCTGCCCCTTGGGGCTGCTGTGACCTTGGACCCTGGGCAGAGGTGGCTCCCCTGGGTTATTTCTTTCCCATTAGCTTTGTGGGAACCACAGGAGAAGACCCCATTCCAAATAAACCAAAAACCTTTTTCCTTGGTTTTAGATTTGGGGGGGGGAGCATCTGATGCTTGAGTTTCCAAGGGTCTTCAATGAATGAGACAGGCCCTGGAAGTCATATGTGGGCGTCACTGAGTAGGACAGAGTCCGCGGCTCTCAAGGAGGTGGGTGGGAGGCTTATATCTGGAAAACTCTTGGGATGGAGTCGGGTGAGCTGCTGGCCCCGCTTGGGAGGAAGGAGTTAAATGGTTCTGCCGTCACTTGAGCTGGGCATCAAATTACCTGGGTTAGGGCTCCTCTCAGAAGGGGTGGAGCCAGGCTTGCCCCCGGGCCTCTCCGGCATCTTCAGGCTTGGATGAGTCCCGCTGAGAAGGTCTGGAAAGACACCCTCGGCTAGGGGAAAGGTCTTACTGGGTGTCCCTGGCCCCCAGCTATGGCTCTGTCCCCACCTCTGGGCCCAAGACTCCCCTCAGAGCCCCTGAACCACCCCCCTGGAGCTCCCAGGGAGCTGAACATTGCTGAATGCACCGTCTGCTCTGCATCTGGAGAGGAGAGAATCAGGTGGGGGCTGGGGCCTTTGAAGCTTGCTCCCAGGAGGGTGGGCAGTGGCAGGGGCCATCGGTGGGAAGGAGGTGCTGTGGCTGCGGTCGCCTGGACCCTGGTGAGGTAACTGGGGATGGGGTTAGGGTGGGTTGAAAGATGAGGCTTCAAGGCTCACCAGGCCAATGCCCCCTACCTCCCAGGCCAGAGCAGGCCCAGAAACCAGGACAGGACTCCTTGGACCCTTCTGAGCACTTCCAGGGTGGGCTGTGGGGCACTGAGCCCGCCGTTGGCCTCCCACAATTGTCAACGCCCTCTTCCCATGAGGACCCAGCTGGGGACAAACACTGTGAGGTGAGCTAAGGTGACCCAGACCCCTTGTGCCAGCCCCCACCTCCGTTTTTGTCCCCCAGAATCTGGCCTCCATGTAGGGATGAGCTAATGATTCTGGAAAGGTGTTGGGTGTCTCTGGGCGGAGAGACACTCTGGAAAATGTTTCTCTTCCAATCAGTAGAGAAGTATTTTACCAATTGGGAGAGAAGTATTTCATCAATGGTACTCTTTTTTTTTTTTTTTTTTGAGTTGGAGTCTCACTCTGTTGCCCAGGCTGGAGTGCAGTTGCCACTCCTGGCCACCGCAGCCTCCACCTGCTGGGCTCCGGCAATCCTTCCGCCTCAGCCTTCTGAGTAGCTGGAATTACAGGCACGCGCTACCACGCCCGGCTGATTTTTTGATTTATTGTAGAGATGAGGTCTCGCTGCCCAGGCGGGTCTCGAACCCGCGGGCTCAGGCAATCCACTCACCTCAGCCTCCCAAAGGCGCGGGATGACAGGCTGAGCCACTGAGCCCGGCATCAATGGTACTCTTACAACTCCTTTTCTCTTGGGGATACCAGTTCCATCACCCACTCCCTGTGCAGACCCCTGGGCCCCAGAGGTCCAAGTTTCCAGGAGCCTTGAAAACCTGGGAACTTTGAACTAGATGTTCCCAGGCATGGCTCTACTGGGAAGACCCGCAAGTGGGAGCAGCCCCGGTATAGACCCAGAGATGGACTCTGCTGCGGAGTCCAGAAGGCAGGAGCCTACAGAAGAGGGGAGGCAACGGGGGTGGGTTGATTGGCCCACTGGCCCCGACTCATCCTCCTGTGTTCCCCAGCACCCTATCTCTGGCCTGGAGGTTCTGGAGGCTGAGCAGGACAGCCTGCACCTTTGCCTGTTGGGGCTGGGCCTCCGGCTGCAGGACCTGGAACGAGGCTTGGGGCCCTGGGCGTTGGCTCGGAGCAGGATGGTCCAGCTGAAGGTGGGCAAGGGGAGGCCAGGTGTGAGAAGGTGGGGAGGGTACCAGCTTTCTCGAGTGGGAAATGGGTGTATTGCATGTTACAGGTCTCTGGACAGGAAATGGGGGAGGGAGCGATTCCTGGGTCTGGGTCTCTGGTGTCCCTGATGTGGGGGGGGGTGATGTCCAACCATGTGTCCCCAGGCTCTACAGGCAGAGCTACGAGGAGCAGCTGAGCGTGTGGATGCACTGCTAGTGTTCGGTGAGGGGCTGGCACAGCGGAGTGAGCCCAGGGCCTGGGTATCCCTGGAGCAGATCCTGAGAGCCCTTGGTGCCCATCGAGACACCATCTTCCGACGGCTTTGGCAGCTGCAGGCCCAACTGGTCAGCTACAGCCTGGTAGGGCCCACCCTGAGACAGATGGTCTTGTCCAGGCCCCAATCTCAACTCCCATGACCTCTGTCCTCTGACCCAGGTGTTTGAGGAGGCCAAGACACTGGACCAGGACTTGGAGGTCGAGGGGAACTCGGACAGGCCAGGACCTGGTGGCATCTGGGGACCCTGGGGACCCAGTAGCCTTCCTACTTCTGCAGAGTTGGAGTGGGACCCGGCGGGGGACATTGGGGGCCTTTGGCCCCTGGGACAAAAGACAACCCAGACACCAGGAGCTCCCTGTGAGCTATGTGGCCACAAGGGTCTCCAGGGCAGAGGACAATGCCTTGAGGTGAGAACAGTCCCCCTTGAGGCGCTTCCCCCAGGCACCCAGAGTTCTGCAGGGTTCTTCCTTTTTAGGGAGGTGTCTGTGGCTCTGTTTCTTCCTCTGTGTCTCCTGGTGTCTCCATGCTTTTCTTCACTCTGTCTCCATATCTCCCTCTGTCTCCCGCTGCTTCCCTCTCTCTTGTCTGTCTCTGTCTACATCCTCAAGCCCATTTTCTCCCCCGCTGCCCCTTACTTTCCTCGCTACAACCACATGGGCCTCCTGGCTCTTCTGTGAACACCCCAAATTCATTCCCATCTTGAAGCCCCCAAATGCATGCCCAGCTCATCTCCTTACTTCATTCCAGTCTTTCCTCAAACACCAACTATTCAGAGAGGTCCACCCTGGCCCCCCTAGCATTCCTGATTTTCTCACTTTACTTCCTAACATTTTGACTTTATGTTTTTATTTATTATTTTATGATCTCACTCTCTCTCTCCCTCCCACTAAAATATTAGCTCCATGGAGGCAAGGATTTTGCCTGTTTTCATTTCTGCGGTGTCCCCAGCTCCTAGAACATTCCTGGCATGTAATAGATACTCATTAAATATTTGCTGAATGAGTGAATAAATAATGTCTCTCCTCTGTTGGTTTCTTTGGTCCTGCCCCTCTCTGTCACTCCCATGAGATCTCTCTGTTCCCTCAGCATCTCTGTGATGCCCACCCATCTCAGCCCTCCCCCAACTATACTTCTCTTTGTTTTTTCTTTGAGTTGGAGTCTCACTCCGTCGCCCAGACTGGAGTGCAGTGGCCGCTCCCGGCCACCGCAGCCTTGACCTGCTGGGCTCCGGCAATCCTTCCGCCTCAGCCTTCCAAGTAGCTGGAACTACAGGCGCGTGCTACCACGCCCCGCTCATTTTTGATTTATTGTAGAGATGAGGTCTCGCCAAGTTGCCCAGGCGGGTCTCGAACCCGCGGGCTCAGGCAATCCACTCACCTCAACCTCCCAAAGGCTGACAGGCTGAGCCACCGAGCCTGGCCGTACTTCTCTTTGTTGCTGGTTCTCCAAGAACCACATACCTCTCTCTCACCACAGGACTTGTTCACCTCTGGCCTCAGCCACCGGAAACACTTAGCAGGTCACCAAAGACGCTCCCTGCTCCGGAAGCCTCAGGTGAGTTGGTCCTCAGTCAGCTGTAGCACTCGGGAATCTTGAGGGCAAGTGACAGAAACCCAACCAGTCGAATGACCCAAAAAAGGGGATGCTATTTTTTTCATGGAAAAGTCCAGGCACTACTGAATCCAGGACCTCGAATGACATCAGGGCTCAGTCCCTCCCTCTGTTGGGATCTGCTTCCTTACATACTCACTTCTCGCCGGTTTACCCACCCCAGGAGAAGGAGGGTGCCTCTGTCTTCATGGCAGCAGCCCAAATCCCAGGGCTGCCTCCTATTTGCAGCTTCGGTCACAGACTGTGCCCTGAGTGAATGAGAATGCTTGGATCAGCCAGGTCTGGGTCGCATGCCCAGTCACGGAAGCGGGGGTGGTGAGAGTCAGCCCACTTGAACCTGAAGGTCTGAGAGTGGAAGATGTGACTTGCCCTCCTTCAAGTGAGCCACCATCACCAGAAAAAGGGATATTGGATTGGATGGAGGACAGGCATGGACAGACATGCAGAACACTTGGAGATATTCCAAGTCCATGTGGAGTCCTTGGGAGAGAGGGGATGCTAGGAGGGGAATAAGACCAGCTCTGTAGGTCTGTAGTAGGAAGGGAAATCCACACTGAGTGTCACTTCATCCACTCTGCTCTGGTTGCTGTCCACTCTTAGGACAAGAAGAGGCCAGCATCTGCCAACCTCCAGGATGTCAGGCTGGAGGTGGATCCCAGGTGAGGCCTGGGATGTGGGGTGTGGGGATAGGGCTCATGGTGGCAGCCCACCCATATATTTAATACTGCATTTCCCTTCCCAGGGCCCCCAGTCCTGCATCCAGGCGACCCCTGACCTTCCTCCTTGTCTTTCTCCTCTTCCTCCTCTTCCTGACGGGTGCCATATTGCTCCTGCCCGCGTCAGGGGGGTCCTGCTGCTCCCATGCCCGACTGGCCAGGACACCTCACCTAGTACTCAGCTACGTCAATGGTCTCCCCCCAGTCTGAGTACTCAGCCCAGGTGTGCAATAAACGGTCACTGTCAAAGGATGTGTGAGGACATTGGGTGCTTGACCCGAAATCTAGGATATGGCCTGGATATATCTGGACAGACCCCTTTGCCTTGAGCCCAGAACACAGAAAAACAGAGAAACTCTGTGGAGCACAGTTCAAAGTTGTTCCACCCAGAGAGTGACGAGTTTGTGGCATGTCTATACCAGCTCCCATCTCTCATTGTTCAGGTCTTTTCCTGGAGATTTTAATGCTCCAGCACTTTCAGGCTGTCTGGCCTGTGAAGGCCCCTCCCTCAGGTAAAGCAGCACAGGGGAAGTTAGAGGTAGGGACAGAAAGGGTGCAGGTGATATGGGTAAGCTGCTGATAGCACCTGCTATGACCCATGACTTGCATCCGTAGGGATTCTCTGTTCAAACATTCCACAGGGTGGGTGCCCGAGCTGTGCCATCATTGGCTTAGGACTGTGGAAATCCCCCTCCCTGGGGTCTTGACAACACCAGGCTGAATTGCCAGGTCTCAGTCCTGGAGTCCAGTCTCCCCAGAGCTTAAGGTATTAGACAAGAGGTGTGAGCCGAATCAGATTCGAACAAAAGCAAGAGCCTGGGTGCTGGGCTCCAGGTTGTGACCTGATATAGATCCCCTCTCTTTTGATTCTCACAACCACCCAGTGAAATGGCCTCACTTAGCAGCATGGGAAGCCGGCTCAAAAAAGTAAGGTCACTGAAGCCCAACTCTCCCTGACTTTAAACAGAAGTGGGGACTTTTTTGTGGTTAACTGAGAAGTTCAGGACTTCAGGCACAGCTAGATCCCGGTGCTCAAATGATGTTTCCATCTCTCAGTTCTTTCCTGCTTGGGCTTCATTCTTATCCTAGCAGTGGCCAGAGGACCCCTCAAAACCTCTAGCCATAACACCCCATCACTTCAGCAGCCGATAGGAGAGTCACTCTCACTTTATATTTCCAACCAAAGTCCCAAGACTGGTTCCTCTGGCTTGGGTCTCATGCCCTGCCTTCTATGGGAGCAGCAGTCAGCCCTGCCTGAATATGTGGACTGAAAATAGGGGAATGGTGCGTCTTCAAAGAAAAGCAAGGAGTTACTAGAAGAGAGGAACAGAGACTGAGGGGTGGGGGAAGCAGCAGATTTTGGGAAAAGTCAAGATGCAAACTGGGTTTGTTCTGTTTGAAATGCTAGTCCAAGATTCTGCTCCCAACCAAAGAGAAGGCATGGTCACCTTGGGATCAGCAAATAGGGTGGGCAGAATCTTGGCAATATTCACCTAACAGGTCTGGTCATGGAACAAATTGGTATCATTTGTTCATTCATTCATTTAGCAATTACTGACTGATTGCTATGAGCCAGGCAGGCCCTGGTCGAGGAGCAGAGATAAGACAACGAGCAAGACGGACTAAAATCCTTGTTCCTCTGGAGTTGACATTCTCATTGGGGAGATTGACAGTAACTAAAAATAAGTGAAATACATAGTAGGCCAGATGGTGATAACTGCTAAGGAGGATAATAAGGTGAGCAAAGGGAAAGGGTACAATTTAAACAGGGTGGGCACTGAAGTCATTATAATTATGTCAAAATAGCAAACTAGTGAGGAAACAAGCCATGTGGACACCTAGAACGGCACTGTCCAATAGAAACATAATGCAATTTAAGATTCTAGTAGTCACATTCAAACAGCAGAAATGAGTGAAACTGGCTGGGTGTAGTGGCTCACACCTGCAATCCCAGCACTTTGGGAGGCCGGGGCAAGAGAACTGCCTGAGCCCAGGGGTTGGAGACCAGTCTGGGCAACTTGGTAAGACCTCATCGCTACAATAAATCAAGAAAAATTAGTCGGGTGTGGTGGCGCACACCTGTAGTTCCAGTTATACGGAAGGCTGAAGTGGAAGGACCACCTGAGCCCAGCAGGTCGAGGCTGCAGTCCATGAGCATGCCACTGCACTCTAGCCTGGGTGACAGAGCGAGACTCCAACTCAAAAAAATAAAAAAATAAAATTAATTTTAATAATTTATATTCCATTTAAACTAATGTTCAAAATATTTTAATTGCCATTATGTCATCAATCTAAAAATAATGAGATGTTTTACAATCCTTTTTTCTTACTAAGCCTTTGAAATCTGATATATTTCACACTTATAGCACATCAATTCAGATGCTAATCTTTTTGTTGTTTTAAAACAAAGTTTATTAGAGAAAGAAGGTAGAAAAGAAAGTGTGACATGCCAGAGCTGGCATGGACAAAATAAAATTGCCCAGATGCAAATTTGTAAAAAAATAAAAAACATATATTTTGGGGTTCAGGATCTCACTCTATGGTCCAGACTGGAGTGCGGTGTGGGCACCATTGTGGCTCATCACATAGATGCTAAATTTTTAACAGATAAAATTAAATGTAGTCCTACAAAAACAAACTGTGTAACAAAAATATATTTTACACTACTTCCATTGTAAAATTTAAATTACTTAATTTTTTTCTTGATCTCATAGTGTTTGCAAAAATTACATAAACTTTATAAGATTAAAAAACTTGATTTCTCAGTCACACTAACTACATTTAAAATGCTCAAGTCAGCTGGGCTCGGTGGCTCAGCCTGTAATCCCAGTGCTTTGGGAGGCTGAGGTGAGTGGATTGCCTGAGCCCACGGGTTCGAGACCCATCTGGGCAACTTGGTGAGACCTCATCTCTACAATAAATCAAAAATGAGCCGGGCGTGGTAGCGCGCACCTGTAGTTCCAGCTACTTGGAGGGCTGAGGCGGAAGGATCGCCGGAGCCCAGCAGGTCGAGGCTGCGGTGGCCGCGAGTGGCCACCGTACTCCACTCTGGGCGACAGTGAGACTCCAACTCAAAAAAAAAAATAAAAAAAATAAAATGCTCAAGTCCCAAGAAGTCTTAGTTACTATAATGGATAGTGTAGACCTTGAGGAAGAACATTCAGGGTAGAGGGAGAAGCAAGTGCAAAGGCCTTGAGGCAGGAATGTGTCTGCATCTGGGGAGACCAGTGTAGCTGAAGCCTGAGTGGTGGAGGGAGAAAGTGGGAGGAGATAAGGTGAGGGGTGACGGGGCCAGATGAAGTGAGGTCACATGAAGACTATCTGAGCAAGATGGGCACCACTGAAGTTTTGTTTTGTTTTTTTGTTTTTGTTTTTAACCCCTGAAGTTTTTCCACCTTTCATTCTGGAATTTGTGAACCGGTACAAAAGGGGAAGGAACAGCATTACAATTCCTCATGAACTCATCGCCAGCTCCAACCTTTATCAACTCAGGGCTAGTCCTGTTTCATTCTCCGGGGCATCTACTCACTCTCCTCTCCCTAGACTGCTTTAAGACCAACTCTAGACATGATATCCTTTTACCCATTCATGAACCACCTTTAGAAGATCAGAACTCAGCCGGGCTCGGTGGCTCAGCCTGTAATCCCACGCCTTTGGGAGGCTGAGGTGAGTGGATTGCCTGAGCCCGCGGGTTC